TGCGTCGGGGCGGCGGAGCGTCCAAGCGGCGGAGGTGCGTCGGGGCGGCGGAGCGTCCGAGCGGCGGAGGTGCGTCGGAGCGGCGGAGGGGCGGCGGGCGCCTCCGTCTCCGCCCGTCTCCTGTGTTTTTTTTAGGGTACCGCGTCTTCTTCCGCTAGGCATCGAGTATTTTGAGCAGTCCCCCGCCGAGAATCGGAGTCGGAGGGCTGGCCTGGACAAAACTGGGCCGTGGGCTTTGCGAAATTTCTGGGCCCATAGGAAATTTGTACATAAGTATCACGTTTCTATTCCTATAAAAAAATGTAGTATCACCTTTATACCCCTCCAAAAACAGCATCTCTTTCATGCCACATGAATACCTATCCTACAAACCAGAAATTTTAATGGTTTGTCTAGGGCACATTTAAATATATATTTTTTGCAAAAAAATATTCACCTTCTTTTTTGCTTTTTTTACATGAAGCACATGATTCCATTAAGTAGTAAGCTTAGCTAAATCGTGCATTGTCTCGCATATCCCCAGCCTCACTTGCCCAGGACTGCGATCACTAGCACCAAAAGTTTTTTTTAGCAATACAAAAAGCTGCCAGAGCGTGTGCTACTGTGTTAAATTCACAAGGGTATATTTAGGGAAAATTTTGTTTTTGCCACTCTAGATTTTGCCAATTTTCCTTATGCCACTCTAGATTTTGACATTTCACTTTTGCCACTCTTTGTTTTTGACAATTATCACAATTGCCATTTTGTGGCAAAATCAAAATAATTTCATTTCATTTTTGCCACTCTTAGCTTTTGATAATTATCACGATTGCCACTATGAAAATTTTGCTTTTGCCACGGGGAATGGCAATTGTGATAATTATCAAAAACTAAGAGTGGCAAAAATGAAATGTCAAAATCTAGAGTGGCATAAGGAAAATTGGCAAAATCTAGAGTGGCAAAAACAAAAATTTCCTTATATTTAGCATGACATCTAACACCCAAAAAAGTTTGTCTGCATGAAGGTACCTATTTCTCTGTGGATCAGTGTGCGTTGAAAAAAAGATTTGATCTAAAATATATAGACAAATCTGGGCTTTTTAGCACCATTCCAATCTAGATTTACTGTGCACAGTAAAATCGCAGACCATCAACAACTAAAAGAAACGGAAATGTTAACGCCCATACGTGTGGGCGTTTGCACATCGCCCACACGTCTCCATCACCACTCATTTTTCCACGTATGAATAGATGACATCAGCAGAATTTTTTTTGGTTTTCGGCTTAAAAATGTTGTATCTTCTAAATAAAAAAGCGAACTAAAAATCCGTTTTCATCATCAAATCTGTCTCGATGAGATCTTCAAAACTAGACCCCATGTTGATATGTTTCGACGAATTTTTTTTTTTGTCAGAAGTTGCCACAATGTTTACACTGCAGTTGCCATAGGGCTTAAACTAAAGTTGCCATGTGGCAATTTTAGTTTGTAGATCATGGCAATTTTAGTATTTTGATGATGGCAACTCCAGTACTTTGACCATGAAATTTTTTTTTATGAACCATGGCAATTTTACGTGCATGTATCATGGCAATTTTAGTTTATGGTTCATGACAAGTCTAGTTTCTTAATTCCCCGTTTTATAAATGTCAAAATTTACTTTTAAATGTAGAAGAAAATAGCTGAAACATATCATGGCAACTTCAGTGTAAACATCATGGCAATTCATATTCAATAGACAACAACTTTTAATCCAAGAAAAATTTCATCAAAACATATCAACATGGGATCTAGTTTCGAAGATCTCATCGCGAGGGATTTAATGGTGAAAACGGATTTTCAATCGGATTTTTCATTTAAGAGATAAAACATTTTAAAAACTGAAAATCCAAAAAGATTCCTGCATGCATGCATGCGATGACGTGCAGTTGCCATAGGGCTTAAACTAAAGTTGCCATGTGGCAATTTTAGTTTGTAGATCATGACAATTTTAGTATTTTGATGATGGCAACTCCAGTACTTTGACCATGAAAATTATTTTTTGTATGAACCATGGCAATTTTACGTGCATGTATCATGGCAATTTTAGTTTATGGTTCATGGCAAGTCTAGTTTCTTAATTCCCCGTTTTATAAATGTCAAAATTTACTTTTAAATGTAGAAGAAAATAGCTGAAACATATCATGGCAACTTCAGTGTAAACATCATGGCAATTCATATGCAATAGACAACAACTTTTAATCCAAGAAAAATTTCATCAAAACATATCAACATGGGATCTAATTTCGAAGATCTCATCGCGAGGGATTTAATGGTGAAAACGAATTTTCAATCGGATTTTTTGTTTAAGAGATAAAACATTTTAAAAACTGAAAATCGAAAAAGATTCCTGCATGCATGCATGCGATGACGTGGCAATCTGTTTACATTAAAGATGTGTGGTGCGTCTCCCTTCCTGCCACACGTGTGGCAGTTAGCGCGACCCAAAAGAAAAGAGAAGGAAAAAAACTATTCGTGAATTCAAAAACAAAGTCCACGGGATTAAAAAATGTTATCGAAGTAAAAAAATGTTCAGTTTTAAGAAAAAATATTTTATTATTTCTACAAAAATTGAAGAACTAAAATAACAAACAAAAAACATGGATTTATTTTAAAATTTCTGGACATGCAACCGGCAGTCCTAGGCTCACCGCTTACAGGTCATTAAGGGCATCTCCAGCCGTTGGCCCCCCAGGACGCACAA